AATAATTAGACTTTTTGATTGAGTAGGAGGGAAAGACAAGTCCCCGGCCAAAGTGAGTTTGGTAAATGTTTGCACAAAAGGAATTGCCTCCATTCTCTCTCTCCCCCCCACCACCACCTCCGTCTCTCTCCACTTTGTAGCCATAAAAACACACACACGCGCGAAGGTAGTGGAACGGGGGGCGAATAAAAACAGAGAAAAGGCACAGCGGGCAAAACACGGTGCCTCGTAATGACAGAAGCTTAACGGAAGAAAAGAAAGGCGACGCTGTTTTCCGCCCCGGCTTTTAATTACGAGCGGCGCTATACTTAGGGGTCGTGTCGTGCCGTGATGTTGTTTATTTCAAAAGATGCAAAGTCCCCCTAAGAGTCTAAGTCAACGGCAGATCATCGACCGTTCAAGGAAAAAAAATGAACGTGGAAACAAACGCGTTTTTCTACGTTTTTGTTTAAATGAATGAGTTGGAGATTAAAAATGAAGAACTATGTATTGGGGTGAATCAAATTTGTCCGGGACGGTATTGAATGTGTAGCTGTTAACATCACTCTCGTGCACCGTAGTTGATATCTAGCAACATAATTTAATTGTTTATGTCGGTGTAAGATGGAAATCTGATGCGTAATAGGATTAATGTAATTGTGCATTTATGTGATTATCTTCAACAGGCTAAATTGTGCATATATATGGGAAATATTTTGTATACACACATATGGTTACGTTTAATTTTTTTAAAATCTAAATATTTACAGCGTCATTTAAATCTATTTCCGAATGAAGACCTCTTAGCTACCGTTGTTAGGTACAGATCGTGGGCGGGGGGTTGGCGTTAGACCATACTTCACTACGCTGGTATCAGCGCAGGTAGGTGAAAGAGTAGGATGATGTTGTGGAGATGGGGGGGGTGTGGAACGTTTCAGATATCACGCGCAATTGGTCAGGGATCGAACTCAGGTGAGTCGGGTTCAAAGCGCAAGTCTGCCAACCACCACGCCACTACTCCAACCTGATCACGTTAACAAAGGTGTAAAGCCCATACAGTACGTAAATGCGGTCGGGGTTTAAACGATTTAGTTATTTGTATCAAGGCACTAACAAAGTCGCGCTTAATATACGAATATTTAAATGCAAACATTCATAACAGATAGCGGCGATGCGCTGTCGTGATAACCTCGATGTAGTTGATAAGAACGTGAATATATGACGACGAAAAAGCGCATCGCAAAGGAAGTTATCAATACAAATTAAACATTTATCGACTCTTGTTTATATACCCCAGAGTAGGCTAATTAATCTATACCTACAATATATTGTTAACCGTATCCTGTAATCACATTCGGCAAGTTGTAGTCCACGCGTGCGTGTGTACACACGCAATAAAGCGACATGCGTGCACGTACGACGTAAAACAAATACACAGCGAAATGTAACATTTGGGCCGTAACTTTAAATCGCATCGAGGGTACAGTGGAAGATCAACGCGTTGTTGACATTGACGCCTATGATGTCGCCGTCTGGGTTGTTAGCGGAGCAGGCCAGTGCGAAAGCCTATACCAGCATCGATGAATATACCACCGTACTTGTTTTTCTAATATATAGACTGTAGTTCTAATTAAACTGAATACGATCTATAGAACGGTTATGCAGTGTTACGATTAAATTCCCTCGCACCACACTTTTATAAGCATGTTGTTTGTCGGCTAACTTGTTCATGCTGCTTATATTCAACGCGAAATATGTGTATATTATATACCTTTAATTTAAAAATAAAATCGGACGTATTTATTCATAATCTTAACCTGTCAAAAATTCAAGAATTCAATGAGAATCATTTTAACGTCTCGCCCCAGTACACCTCTAAATCCGAGGAAGACCAAGCACACAAAATCTAATTGTTTGAAGACAACCGAGAGGATGACGATGACGACGATACATAAAGCACGTGCATTGCCCCCGTGTTGTTGACACCATTCTGGGATTGAAATCGCGAGTGTCGGGGAGTGGGTGTTCGAGTTAGTCGTCAGATTCTTTTGGTTATTCACCCACCAGACCTGAAATCATATACAGCCGTGGTGACGTCTGCCGCACCCATACGGCAGACGACTTCTTGAAGCTGTCTTACGGGGGGGGAGGTAGGTAGCTAAACGTGACACAAATTGGACACTTCATTATTTATTTCACGTGCGAATTGAGAGTTATGGAACGGTAATAAACATTTAAGCGACAGAGCGCGGTAATAACTGTTATATTTCTTTTTTAAAAAAAGGTTATTGATTCTATAACCTCAACCAATGTTAATGTAACGGATTATGAGTTTGTGGGCGGGTGGGCGGGCGAGCGGGGGGGGGGAGTGTTTTTTAGTACGAAGAAACGTGGCAATTTCCATGGCCGAATTCAAGTCTGCGGACTAATTGCGAGGCGAATTCGGAGACGCGGCCTGCCCGCGGACGCACGGCAAGTGAAGTTGTTATGTAAATGGGAAAGGCTGCAGCTGCAGCCAAGCGTAGAGACGGGGCCCGACCGGGGTTAGGGACCTTTGGCCCCTGGGGCACTGAATTGTGGAGGGAGGGGAGAGAGGGGGGCGGCCGGCTGAGAGAGAGAGGGGGGGGCGAACAGGGGGGGTGACTGGGGGAGGGAGGGAGAGAGGGAGGGGGGCGAACCGAGGGGGCTGAGGGAGGGACAGGGGGGGGGCAGGGGGGCGGGGGGAGGGGAATTGAGGAAAGAGGGTGGAGGCGAATAGAAACCGGCTTGGGCAGTGCCTGGACAGGGAAGGTTTCCACGTTGTGATCGCCACAGCCTGCAGACTCGCGTGGAGTTAAAACATATTTAGCCTTGCGCGCATTCACTCCACGGCGTGTTGTTTTCTACGCATGCATGTCTTTAGACTCGTTACCGCATTTTTATGGTAAGTGGAACGCGGGAAGTGATGCGCTCTGCCTGTGGCTCTTGCTGCTGTTGTGTCTCTGTGTGTGTGTGTGCGCGCGCGCGCTTTACGCGATAACAAACGATGCCTTTTGCGTGATTGATACGCGATGTTAATACGCGGCGTTGCGAACGCGACTTTGCGTGCGAGCGTGCGTGCGAGCTCTGTATAGTCAAGGTGATCTCGACGTAACTTCAACTGCCTCCTCTCTTGATTAGTGCGCGCGTGTTCGCGCACGCGTGCGGAGGCTACAACTTGAATCTTGACAGTCCGACGATGGCGTATATGTAAACCTAAAATTGCGACGCGCTTACTAATCTTGAGATTCGTGAATAGCGCGGCCCACCTTTTGTGCGCTGGGTGACCGCGCGTCCGTGTCTACCGCAGGCGCGGGGCGTTATTGTTGCAACAACTAACAAACAAAAACAGCGCCGTGTGACAGCCGCCACGATCGAATGATAGCACAAGCACGCGTCGCAGTTGACCACCGATTATACACGGCGAAGTACTGTAATGTATCATACCTTTTTAATACCTCCGAAGTGACGTGATTTAGGCATATACTTATTGACGAACAGACAACAAAAACCGCGTGGCTGCCCATGTATTTATATGTTTTGGTCACCGCTCTGATAGACATCTGATATACAACGAGAGGAGTGAGAGCGAACGATTCTAACCGTAATGTGCTTACTACGTTTGTGTGGCGGTGGATCTGTCACGTGTGCCGTGGCAGTCCTTGAACTCAACACATTGACTCCGATGTCTCTCTCGCTCGCTCTCCGCGTGTCATCGTACTCCGCGGAAATGTACCAACAACTAAAAAAAACCTGTACGGCCACGCACGAACGCAATAGCGAGGTTTTCGACGGGCTCCTTTTTGTCTTTACCTTGGCCTCCCAAACGCTTTGAGATGTTTCCTCCGGAAAAAAATATTTGTTTGGGAGGCCCCTACACCGTTCACCTATGTATTGTATGCTTCGTCTTTTACGTCCATCATTCTTCAAGCGCGGAGTCTTAGACGTGCGTTGCGTGATTCTCAGCGCACAGACCGTGTGCCCGTTGTGCGCGCTATCTCGCTCGGGTTGTGTCTACGGGCTGAAGCGTGCAGTGATAAAATACAGCCGACGGGTCAAGGACGACGCGAATATAAAATATCTATTCACTTTTCGAGAGAGAGAGAGAGACTGTTTTTTGGACTCCCCGTTCAAAAACACTACGGCACAGACTTGAGCTATGAAATAGACGGGCAAATTGTCAAACTTAAGTTCTGTAGAGCGAGCAAGAGAAATGAGATAATGGTCGCACGTTTGCTTGTTGTTAAATTGAGCTGTCATTTCGTCACAAAGCGAGAATACATACGTGCTGACTTGTGTTTGTTTGCTAAGTGATTGACTATGGCATCACGGATGGTTTAAGTTTAATCTGCCCATATTTTATTGTATAGGTATATTTATGTGTGTGTGTGTGTACCTGAGATGTCAGTTAAAGAGATTTCGCAATTCTCAAAACATTGGGCGCATTGCACATTTTACAACAGTGTAAATCGTTTTCTATTCGCGTGCACGTTAAGAATGTAATTAAGTTTAACGGCAATTGTTTTAGAATCGCAGAAGCGTAATTGTACAAATAAATGGGGGGGGGGGGCTGACATTGGGGTGATGTACATACAAAATACAAACTCCCATTTGAAACGCTCTAAAGCTATATGCCAGGGAATAGTCACAGAGGCGAATATCCCCTATTGAATCCTTTACTATGCAATTATTTTAAGTATGAACAATTGTAAGCATACCAGAAGACACGGTGAACAAAGCGGCAGTTGCGTCTACTGCACATCATTGGCTACGCAAACATCCACGCGTATTGTAAAATACTCTAATGTTCTCGTAACGTCTTTGAACGGAATAACACCAACAACAACCTGCTAAAATCAGCTTGCAAACGTCTCGTCATGACATCGTGACTCAATGGATGAGTAACAATTAAACAAGCTATCGTAAAATATCGCTTAACTCGACACTGTCATTCGAGAAACGCCGCATTTTTTAAAAGAACACACAAGAGAGACTTTGCTTACTCTTTGCTCCAAGTTGGCTCTCAACAACTCCTCCCGGTGCGCGTTATGGGGAAAACGCGCAACGCGGCCGTGTTAAATGCGATATTACACGCTAGATGGCAGTAAGATACTGCTCCTTCTTCACAGCACGGGCAAGAGGTTGGGTGGGGGGGGAGAGAGGAGAGAGGGAGGGAAAAAAAAAACCTACACAGCCACAGTGATGAAGAGAAGCGAAAGCACCACCGCTCCTACCTACACAGCGACGGCAGGAATTGTCTTTACGGCAGGCCGTTCGCGGATACAAACCGGTGCGATTCACGCAGCGAGACGTTTTCGCTTTTGCAAGATCTCGCTGTGACACGTGCGATAGTCAAGTGCACGTCTGGTGGAGACAGCTCTCCATTTTCCCCGTTGTATTTATCTGAACTATTTTTTTTTTACTTAAAACAATTAAAACGAAGTAACACGTAGTAGCGATCTCTTCGTACCGCCGCGAGTCAAACGTTGACATTGAGCTGCTTTAAAGTTGTTGTGTTTTTAAAAGCTATAATTGCGCCCTTCTTTCTCGGATGTGAATTATTGATGAGATATAGTCGTGCACACGTGTGCACCAGGTAAAGGTGACACTACGCACACAGCCCAGTCTACGATTCAATTAAGCGAGTTGCTTCTCGGCAATTTCATCCGCGAGGTTAATTGATTCTGGAACATTGCTTTTTCTTTGCTTGCCCAAAAAAATCTTGATTACAATACTTTTAAATGCAATCCCCCAAAACTAAATCTGGGTAACGGCTTAAGCATAGCTTTGTGAAGTAACACGTGAATGTACGTATGTATGTTGAACTTCTTTCGCACCGTACGTAGCCCACCGTGCTCATCGGGAGGTGCGGGGGAAGGACAACAAACTAAATACAAAAACAATATTGGGTCAGTGTGTGTGTGCGTGTGTACGCGTGGAAATAGTTTTACCTTGCGAGTACATCACGTGTGTGTGTTTGTAACGTAACCTATCTCGCCGCCCCACTGGTACGTGTCAGTAGCAATGTAAAAGTGTGGATTTTTTAAAATATATATAATTATTCTCCATACGTCGGCTGATTCACGGCACAGGACCGCTCTCTTGCACCTACAGCAGGCCTCGTCTGTACTATCCCATTGTTTTCAATACTACAATGTTCGCGTCGTTTTAAGAGACTAATGCCGGTTTGGATCACCAAGTGACCACTAAGAAACGGTACGACATCCGAGCATGACCCAGTCATATGACAAATATTAAGCAAGTACTGTTTGCCTTGCAATGAGGATTATCTTTTACCCGCAATAATCCAAATCATCCCGAGTGCTAGGACGAGCCACAAAGCACATTCAACCACCCACATGGCACCGTCTATTCCGCTGACAAACAGCCGTAACGAGAGCGCGGTGATTCGTGAACACGATGCGAAACGTGGAGGAAAACGTGAACGAAAGCTCTCTAAAGGGAGGCAGGGCGAAGCCGAATCGGAAAGGCGGGGGGGGGGGTGGTGATGGTTGGTCGGCGATTCCGAAGAGCCCCTTCGACGAGCACGGTCGCGACCGCACGCGAGTAACCCTGCCACTAGCCCCGGCTCTACCCCACAGGGGCCGGTCTGCCTGCCTCTCCCCATGAGCCTCCCCCCACCCACCCCGTCCTCCCCCTACCGCCCACCAACCCCCTTAAAGCACCCCCCCACCACCACCACCATCCATCCCATAACCTCCCCAACCCCACTCCACCCACCCATACTACAACCCACACACAAACACCGCTCTCGCTCTCTCCTCTCTCCACCCACCGCCCAACCACCCCAACCTCCAAACCACCAACCTCAACCGCCCCAACACGCACACATTCTCTGTCTCTCTCTCTCTCTCCCCACGACACAACCACCCACCCACACCCACCCACCCACCCACCCCTCCACACCCGCCCACCCACCCACCCACCCCCCGGGCCCCAGTCTCTGACCATTCGCCTTTGATTATCAGCTGCCAGAGGGCCCTCTCCCCGCACGCTCTGACACTGCGAGCCTTATATGGAAGCGGTCGCCACGGTAACGTGTCAGTTTCGCTCCTCGTGTCAAAGTTCACTATATACTGACATCCGCGCTTCTCCTTCTTTCAGAGGCGCACTCCGCCAAGCATCCAGCTCCTTCTTCAAACGGCGCGCACTCTCTGAATATTTTATTAGGGGAGGAGGTTTTTTTTTTTTTCTCGGGGGGTCCGCCTATTGTATAAGGTGGTGGGCAAACTTCGGGCCACCAAGTGGCTTGTGTCTTTTTATTTTTTTTTGGTTGTTGTTGCGCGTCTTTCGCTCTCTCTCTCCTGCGCTCTCTCCTGCGCTCTGTCGGAGGTGTCTCGAAACCTCGCTAGCCCGCCTCGAATCCGTGAGAGTGTTTCGCCTTTAAATTGTTTTGCGTGCGGCGGAAAGGAAGTCAGAACAAATCCGATTTCTCATTTGCGGCCACTGTGACTTTGCTCTCTCGCTCCTGAGCGCTAGGGTCGTCTATTGTCGTAGTCTTATTCGGAATTTTGTTGTTGTTGTTGTTGTTACTCTTAATACAGATGCGCGAAGCTTTGTAATCTTTAACCTTTCGTTCGGTATTTTATAATAATAATAATATATATTGCTTTCCTGAATGGCTGACTGCGCTCTGCCCTGGACCTGGCCTTCCGACACCCGCGTATCCTGAACTCCTCCCGCCCTGCGCCCTCCCGCCCGCCCGCCCGCCCGCCCGCCCTCCCATCGCATCTCATCGCCTCCGCTTGCACCGACGACTCTTCCTCTTTCTCCTCCTCCTTCTCCTCGTCTCCGCCTCTACCGCCGTCGTGAACGATACGACCACCACGACTACCACCACCGCCGCTGCCGTCATCACCATCACCATCGCCGCGACGACCCACAACCTTCCTCCCGATTTGGGCAGACGCTCTCCGCTCCCCTACCTCTCCACAAGCGATGGCAATGGTAGTCGGGCCGTGGCGAGACCCACAGGGCGACCTGACCAGCCCCCCGAACGTGCCCGGCCAGGCGGGGCAAGCCCCGCTGGCTCCCGCGGGGCCGCAGACGCCGCAGACGCCGAGTCAGTCGGGCGGGCCCCCCACGACTCCGGGCCAGGGCAGCACGCAGGGTGACAAGCAGCAGCAGCAGCAGCAGCAGCCGAACGTGGAGTGCGTCGTGTGCGGCGACAAATCGAGCGGCAAGCACTACGGACAGTTCACGTGCGAGGGATGTAAAAGTTTCTTCAAGCGCAGCGTTCGCCGGAACCTGACCTACACGTGCCGCGCCAATCGGAATTGTCCCATCGACCAGCACCACCGCAATCAGTGCCAGTACTGCCGACTCAAGAAATGTCTCAAAGTCGGCATGCGACGCGAAGGTACAGAACACGTGCGAACATCAAACTCGCTCACACACACACTCACACACGCGCGCTCACCATACAGTCTCTCTATTATTTACGGGTCTGCGTGCATGTGTGTGCGTGTGTGCGTGCGTGCTATGGTGTGCATCGTGCATTCGCATGATGCGTTCGGACTGTAAATAGAAGAGCTGCCATCACGTATTGTCAATGCGTTTATGAAATGCCTCCCCACCCCCTGCCCCCACCGCAATTAGACGCTATGCGTGAGATAATTCTAAATGTGTGTCGTGTGTGAGTGTGCGTGTCGTGTGCCGTGTGTGTGTGTGTGCCTGTGATGTGTGTACGTGTCGTATGTGTGTGCGTGCCGTATGGGTGTGCGTGTCGTATGTGTGTGTGTGTCGTGTGTGTGTGTGTGCGTGTTGTGTGTGTGCCTGTAGTGTGTGTACGTATCGTGTGTGTGTGTGTCGTGTGTGTGTGTCGTGTGTGTGTGTGCCTGTGTGTGTGTGCCTGTGATGTGTGCGCGTGTCATTCGTGTGTGCCTGTGGTATGTGCCTGTGGTGTGTGTGTGCGTGGTGTGTGTGTGGTGTGCGTGGTGTGTGTGTGTGTGTGTGTCGTGTGCGTGTCGTGGCTATTGAATGCTCATCGTCGGGGCTCGCGCGCGTCTTCGTGTGCGTGCGTCTGCGCGGTGTGTCGTGTGTGTCCGCGCACACGTGTCTGTGTGTCTGTGTGTACGTCCACTTGCTCGTGCATATATATATACGCGTGCGTTTGCTTTAGTCAATTGTAAGCCCCCCTTTTCAGTTTTGCCGCCACGTATACAGTACAGTAAATATTGTAACCCCCTTCCCTCCCTCCCTGCTCATCCCCCCCCCCCCCTCCTCCACCATTCTCTGTGCTTGACCCCACACTGTCGATGTGACTGCCCCGTAGATCGTGCGGGTCTCGGGTCTGCAATGCAACGGTCTTCTCTGTCTCCCATTGCAGCCGTGCAGAGGGGAAGACTGCCTCCTTCACAGCATCCGAATCCAGCACAGTACGCCCTGGTTAACGGCGACCCTCTGAACGGCCACTCGTACCTGTCGGGGTACATCTCGCTGCTGCTGCGCGCCGAACCTTACCCCACGTCGCGCTACGGAAGCCAGTGCATGCAGCCTAACAACATCATGGGCATTGAGAACATCTGCGAGCTGGCGGCGCGTCTCCTCTTCAGCGCCGTGGAGTGGGCGAGGAACATCCCGTTCTTCCCCGACCTGCAGATCACGGACCAGGTGGCGCTGCTACGGCTCGTGTGGAGCGAGCTGTTCGTGCTGAACGCGGCGCAGTGCGCCATGCCGCTCCACGTGGCCCCGCTGCTCGCCGCCGCTGGTCTCCACGCGTCGCCCATGTCCGCTGATCGCGTGGTGGCCTTCATGGACCACATCCGCATCTTCCAGGAGCAGGTGGAGAAGCTCAAGGCGCTGCACGTTGACTCGGCCGAGTACAGCTGCATCAAGGCGATCGTGCTGTTCACCACGGGTGAGTCTTTCTTGAGAGATGACACGGCGTGGATTGAGAGAGATGTGTGTGTGTGTGTGGCGGTGGTCCGTGTTTGTTTGTTTGTTTATGGGTGTGTTTATTAGATGGTGCCGGCGTGCGTGTGTCACGGGCACCTTGTGTTTTTGCGGTTAAATCTTCAGAAATTTCACATTTAAATTTCATTGCATTACAGTTTTGCGGTGATTTTGATCGTAGTGATTGTGATTATTTTTTACTCGCAAGCATTATTTTTTTCTAAATAGTGGTTTCACTTTGATAAAGAAACACAAATTTAAGCGTATGCTCCATTACATTTGTAATATACGCGTGCACACTTTGGCCTGCATACACTTTGAGTTATGGCAATTAATGGAACACATTTCGCAGCTTTGGGCAGGGGAAAAAAGCTGACGATATTA